AACATGTCAATAGTTAATTAGTCCTATAATTAATTCCTTCATCCACAATAAATAATTCTATTATTGATTAGTCTTAGGAATTGCATAATGTGCTTATAAAAAAATAACACAGAAAGATATAACTGCTGAAATAAATGCCTCCTTTAAATATTTGTGTTAAAATAATAACATGCATTTTTTGTAACAAATAACTATGTTTCCTGTTATTATGTTTACGGTTTCATTTAAGTTCTAGGTTCAATCTCTGTAATTTTGGTGTCTCTAATACTAGGAAAAATATTACAGTGCCTTTTATAATTCCATCTCATCACGTGTGCAACATGAAGTTTTATTCCAAGTTGGGCTTGTTAGTTCAAGGTCCAGGGTGAGCAACAGAACAAGTGCAAAGTGTGTGTGATCTTCAGTGGTGGCTGCTATGGGGCCTATGGTGCTGAGTTTCAGTGTCCTCTCCCCCTCACCACTCTGCTTTTTGGGGAAGTTTAATTCTTTCTTTCAAGTATGGGAGGGCCCGGGCAGGCCCTTTGCATTCTGGTTCCATTTGTTCCATTGGTCTCTACTGACTTCAAATCAGTGCTATCTTTTCCCCTGCAGAAACACATGCCCACCCTACTCACACAACCCCAGCGCCCAAAATCCCTATGGAATTTTCATCTCTTAGTATCCACACAGCCTGCTCTCAGATGGATTCTTAAAAGCCTCCCTGATGCCTCACTGTATTTCCTTATCAGGTTAGTGGGGACCTTGTGCAGCATCTCCAGTGGGTTGGGTATCAGCTCTCTCTTCTCCAGGCACAAGCTTTCATCAGCACATTCCTTCGTTATCACCTGATGTCATCCCTGGTCATGAGGAAGGGCTGCCTTGGGCACGAGTGAAGTTTATTGTGCTAACAGGAGAAGGTCTGCATCAGACACAAGGTCCATGGTTTCTGATCCTCCCATGTCCCTTGGACTGGGATGTACATAGTAGCCAGAGAGTGGAGCCTAGGACTTCAGCTGGACCATGGAGTTAGGAACAGGAGCGCCTGTTCCAGTGCCCTGTGGGATGCTCATGTTGGTTTTTTCTGTCATGTTACAGATTGTCAATTAGAAGATGGCTAATCATTGTTGATTTATGGAGGATATGAATAGCCAACTTCAATCCCACTCAGATATAGAAGGTCACCATTGATAGTGACCAGGGTTGATCATTCTTTTAAATGAAAGGGTGGCAAGTGACTGGGAGCCCATACTTTGACCCTAGGGTGAGGTAGGCTGATGAAAATGCTGAGCTTGCTCTGTACATGGGACATACATATTGTCCTGGGGACATGTTTTGCTCCCATTCTAAAATTTCTGATCTGGCATCTCCTGTGACCACTGCATGAAAGATAAGGGAGGGGGAAGCAGGACTCAGCTGGGAATCAGTCTCGAGGAGAGACCCTGTTGGAGTGGGGAGCAGCACAGCAGGGGTGAGGAGTGAAAACTAGGTCTCCTGGAACCTTACTTATTCCTTGGAGCAGAATGTGGTGTGGGTGGTGATCATTTTTATTTTTTCCCCATTCTCAGCCTGTTCAGTCTGAAGATGAATTTAGGAAGGAGAGAAAGAGATGTTTCAGAGATATCCTAGAGAAAGACCTATACCAAAAGAGCCAGGCAGACAGGGCCAGTGCACAGGTGGGAACTGGAGGCTCTGTTAGAAATGTCTGCAGATAGTGACCAGGACAAGAAGAGTGTAGGGTGGAGAGGGAGGTGGCACACAAAGTTTGTTAAGAGAATATATTCATGGAGAAGAGAATTCAGCTCATCCTTGGAGAGGGATTTCTTTATTAGGAGTCAGAAAACTGTACCCAAATGTCCAGAAAACAGGGCCTGTCTTCTAGTGATGCTCAAGCCGTTTAATTGTTCTCTTAATCCAGGGCACAAAGCTTGAAATCCTGGTGACGACCTGAGGAGGTTTCCCATCCACATGCCCATAGCTGACCATGCCCTGGCTCATGTTGTTACATACGAGGGGTCCCCCAGCATCCCCCTGCAGAGAAAAATGAGCATCTCAGTACAGACCCCACTCTTTCCCCCTCTTTCAGTCTTGTTTTCTACTTGTTCTCATCTGTCCTAAGGGTCTGTGCTTTCATGGAATAACAGGTGAGTGGTTATGGTTGGTCTTTGCCTGTTTTGTTCATCACCTCTAGAGTCTAGATTTTTAATGAATTAAAAAAGTTGAATTATGACACATTATAATTCACCAGTAATTTTCATTGTGATGGTCTTTGCCTTGCATGGGGGCGAGGTGAGCAGACTCTGTGATCCACCTGAATAGAGAACCTCTGCCTGGCTTCAGGTTCTCTCTCTTGCTCAACCCATACCTAAATTGTCCATTTCTTTTCCCATAGGCAATGACCAAGGATTGATCATAGGCTGGGAACGTCATGCCCTCCCCACAGGTTGATCCTAGACTAGCAATGGATGTGTAGTGGGAGTTGCCTGGCTATCTGTCCTCAGCAACACCCTGTGTGGGGACATACATTTGAAGAGGGATATGTCCTTACATTATCTGTAGTCTTCTTGGAGTTGGGGTTCCCCACACACAACTGGATGATATCATGGTAGTATGGGAAGAAGTGCTTGCATTTCTGCTCATTTTGAACTTCCACGTCCACTTTCCGGAGTGTGTTGGTAAGTTTTCCATTAGTTTGTTTTCCCCAGTCTACCACACTGCATTCGTACCCAGGTCTCACCCAGTCCTCACTGTGTGGCAAGGCAATGGTGTCCACATATGCATTGAGTTGGGCCTTGTATTTCAGCTGGTCAGAAATAAGAGAGATGGCAGTTCAGGCTTGGCCTCTCAGTGAACTTAAAACCAGGGCTTAGGTTACCTATAATTCCCCGTCAGGAAAACCTCCCAAACCCCATTCTATTTCCTTGGGACCAATAGTACAGACACCCAGAAGAGGCCAGTCCTCAGAACTGTTTAAGCTCAATGCTCCCCAGCTACTTGTGTAGGTAGACTAACAGTAAGAAGATGATACCTTCAGCAGCATGATGTCATTGGTAAATGTTTCAGTATTAAAATTTTCATGACGGATGGCTTGAAGAACTGGAATGACCTGCTGGGTATTTTCCTTTTTGTTGATATCATGAGCACCCAAGGTGACATTCATTTTACTGTAAAGATAAAATGTATAGCATCTGTCTTACAAGTTATAACTCAGTCTCTAAAAGGCAGATTGAAAGCTCACTCTAAGCTAGAGCAGCAGCTGAGTCTAACTTCCAGTAATCCCTGGGTAAAAGTGTGTCCTGTCTTGGTCCAGAGTGGACTCTGTGGCCTTTCTTGGTGTGCTGATGCAAAGTCAAGGCTGTTTCCCTAGCAATCTCCACTGCCACCCTGCCTCTTCCCCCACATCTTCCAATCTGATTCCCATACTCATTTTGGGTCAACTAGGACAATGTCAGATATATCTTCATTTGCCCTTGACCCTATTGGTCATGGATGTTCCTGAGCAATGTCACCCGGTCAGTCCCAGGATAACCAAGACCACTGTTTCTCCTTACCTCCCATTACAGAAAGGGGATGTAATTAAAATGTTCTTTCACACCAGGAAACCACCACAGCCAGTCCTGACTAACTTGTTATCATAGAACCTTACAAACGCCATGTAAGGCCGGGAGTGGGGTGTGACCTCTGTACCCCATTTGATTTGTCCTGAAAGAGAAAGGCTTTAGTAGCTCTCCATGTCCACAGAGGACAAGCCTGGCCATCCCATCAGGCTGTGGAGCACAGATGAGGTTGTACTCTGTTGGCTCAGTTAGGTTTTGTGTCAGTGTCCAGGCAGAGCTGAGTGGCTCAGCAGAATGGGGAGAAGTGAGAGTGAAGGAAGCTGAGTAGAAAAGTCCTTCTTGTCCTAGTCCTGATGATAGCTCATGGGATAAATCTGTCCAGTGTCAACTTTGTAGAAAGGGAACTTACAGCCCACCTTTTCAGTTATACCTTTCTACCAGTGTCCTGAGCCATTGTAATAATTGGCTGCAATCCCCTCCCACACACCTCCCCCCCAACCCCTGGCGTCCAGGCAGAACCTGTTCTGCCCTCATCTTCTCCAATTTTGTTGAAGAGAAAGCATAAGAGATAATAAGAAAGACATAGTGTTTTTCCTAGTTTGGGATAAAGACAGCTATACAGAGAGATTCCTAGTGTTACTTCCATGTACTTGTGTATTGCAACCCACATTGGTTCATTTCTATCAGACCTCTTCACTACTTCTTGGTTCCCTTTCCATAGTGGCCTCTGCTAATTTTACTTTAACCGTGACACAGGTTACTCCAGAGGCACCCGCGCACCCATGTTTATTGCGGCACTATTCACAATAGCCAAGTTATGGAAACAGCCAAGATGCCCCACCACTGACGAATGGATTAAGAAAATGTGGTATATACACACAATGGAATTTTATGCAGCCATGAAGAAGAACGAAATGTTATCATTCGCTGGTAAATGGATGGAATTGGAGAACATCATTCTGAGTGAGGTTAGCCTGGCCCAAAAGAACAAAAATCGTATGTTCTCCCTCATATCGTATGTTAGATCAAGGGCAAACACAACAATGGGATTGGACTTTGAGCACATGATAAAAGCGAGAGCACACAAGGGAGGGGTGAGGATAGGTAAGACACTAAAAAACTAGCTAGCATTTGTTGCCCTTAACGGAGAGAAACTAAAGCAGATACCTTAAAAGCAACTGAGGCCAATAGGAAAAGGGGACCAGGAACTAGAGAAAAGGTTAGATCAAAAAGAATTAACCTAGAAGGTAACACACACGCACAGGAGATCAATGTGAGTCAATGCCCTGTATAGCTATCCTTATCTCAACCAGCAAAAACCCTTGTTCCTTCCTATTATTGCTTATACTTTCTCTACAACAAAATTAGAAATAAGGGCAAAATAGTTTCTGCTGGGTATTGAGGGGGTGGGGGGGAAAGGGAGGGGGTGGAGTGGGTGGTAAGGGAGGGGGTGGGGGCAAGGGGGAGAAATGACCCAAGCCTTGTATGCACATATGAATAAAAAAAAAAGATTACTTTATTTGCTCAACAGGGAGCACATCAACCACATTCAAGTTTTAGGTTTCCTTCCCTTTCCCTATTCCTCCCATGCACGTTCTCCCCTTAGTTCAGTGTTTCCCTCGATATTTGACTACAATGCTCCCAGCCTCTCTCCATTCCTTCACTCCTCTCCCAGACAAGGGGGATTATGATGCTAAACTGAGGCAGCTAATGCTGCCTGATTCTCAGATGTATTCAGAGAAAGTTCATTTGCATACAAATATCAGACATATTCTTTACTACCTGATATTAGCCATGATAAAGTAATATTTTGGGTTCTGTCTGCCTTGTTTCTTTGTCTTATATCTTAATGGGTGCCTCAAGCTCTACAATTATAACATCAAAATTCTTGTTAGATTCTAAAATGGGAATTCTGACAAGGTTATGACACTAGAATTCAATCTAGGTTGTCACATTATATTTCTGATAAAGTTAAACATGACAAAACAAGATATGACAAATCCCTGGAGGTTCAGTTTTAATACATATGGAGGCAGACCCCAGTTTAGTATAAACTGCTCTGATTTGTCCCCCTTTAAGGGAGGAGGGTTTGTGGTATTGAAGTAAAGGGCAAAGCATAGGATGCAGCAGAGGAAAAAAATTAAAACTACTCTTCAAGAAGTAGTATATTTTAACTTTAGAAGGGCTCAAGGAGATAATCCGGCTTGCTGGCCACATGGGCATGTTTTTCTTGAATGATTTCCCCTTCCACACAATATAGAAATTTCACTACTGGTAGCTTATATAATCAACTCCACTCATTATCAAAAGCATTTTTCTCTCTTCATAGTCAAACAAAAATCTAACTCCCACCTGTCCTCTGAGGAGGATTTTTTTTTCAATAATGAGGTGGGGTTTTCAGCTGGAAAAAGTTATTTTTCAAGGTCTCAAGCCATCTGGAAAAAGAATCCACATAATTTGGGGGCAAGGAGGTATAAAATGTCTTTGTTAATCCCTCTCTGGAAAGCAAAGATTTTCAGTGACCAAGAATGTAAGGTAGATGAAACTAAGTTAGTATTTCTTACAAATTTCCCTTCCTCATTATCCATGACCACAAAGGGCTGATGAGTATTTTGTATTTTTAGATGGTTGTGTGCCTCAACCCCAACCTCTTGAAGCTTGGATTCTTAGAGAAAATAGTAGTGCCCAAACGGATTTCTACCTCGTGAAAGCTCTCAAGCCCATGCAACCTTCTCCAATCATGTCACCAAGACACCAACGTCCATCCTCTGGTCTCCAACAATTACCCACTGACTGGTACCATTGCATCCATTCTTGCTCCCTCCAAACTCACTCCCCACACAGATCCAAGAAGTCTTTAATGCAAGGCTGTATATCGTGGAAGAGAAAAGCAGTCCCTGACATTGAGGACCTGGCCTGCACCAGCAGCTTGGGACTAACAAGGAGGCCTGGGTGTTCTCCTGTGGACTATAAACAATCTCACAGAACACCAACATCAAATGAGGCTGCTCTGTGGTGATGGATCAAGATGAAAAGAGATAACTTCCTAATCATGTCTGAAACAGACTTAAGATGAGAATTGTTAAACCATAAAAATGGCCAAGTAGCTCCCCTATCCTGGATAATGATGATGGCTGTTTTCTTTTACCAATTGCAACTCTATCCAAATCTCAGTCTTCTCTTCTTCATAAAGGTAAGATTTATTAAGACTCCCAGTCACAGAACTACCCCATTCCACAGTAGCATATAAAATGAGAATAAAGCTTCCATGCCTGAGGACTCTTCAATTCACTTAGCAGAAGCCCCAATCACGTAAGTCCTAATGACCTTTTATGGAGACACTGGTTCTCTCTGGCTTTCTCCCTTATTGCAATGACCACTGAACCCAACTTGTTGAATCAAAGGCATGTTCCTGGTGGTCTTCAGGTACAGAGTACTGACCACAACTTAGCTCAAAAGGACATAGCTCCTAGGTTCAAATCCCAGCTCCACCACTCCCTCCCCACCACATACTTCCCAAACCAAGTTACCCATCTTTGCTGGGCCTCAGTTTGCTCATTTGTAAAATGGGACAATGTCATTTATCCAGCTGAAAACCCCTTCTTCATTATTGAAAAAAAAAATCCTTCTCAGAGGACAGGTGGGAGTTAGGTTTTTGTTTGACTATGAAGGGAGAGAAATGCTTTTGATAATGAGTGGAGTTGATTATATAAGCTACCAGTAGTGAAATTTCTATATTGTATGGAAGGGGAAATCATTCAAGAAAAAATGTTAAATGTTTTCAATGATGTGTGATGTCCATAGAACATAGGATTTAAAACACACATCAGCTCAAATCACTAGTACTGAAACTGATAGCCAAAGTCATTACTGAGAATAAATGGCTGCTTTTTATTGGCTGTTGCCTGTCTCTTCAGCTTCATGGCACCTGTTTTCTCCTCTATAATATGGAGATAATAGTAACAAAAATAATAGCAGGATAATATCAATACCAATAATATTACAAAGATAAGGTAAACTTCCCAAGTACACTTGGAACATATCCCAACACCAGCACTTTGTAAGCAAATAATAAATGTCATTTTGCCTTCCTGCTTAAGAAATTTATGAACTTTTTTGCATATTCTATTTTTTTAAAATCTCTAAACTAGTAGGATTATATTAACCTGTGTAATTCAAATGTTGTACTGTGGAATGCCCCATGTAGGTATGTTGAGAGTTCTGCAAATTTTAATTTATAATTTTTTCTTTTTAGTGATAATGGGGCTTGAATTCAGGGCTTTGTGCTGACCAGGCCAAGCCTCTACCACTTAAGCCACACCTCTAGCCCTTTCTGCTCTGGTTATTTTGGAGATAGGGACTCATTTTTAACCAGACCAGACTGAACTGCCATCCTCCTATTTTAGACTTCCCATCATAGCTGGGATGTCAGGCATGTACAACCAGACCCAGCTTTTCTCTACTGAGATGGGGTCTCAAACATTGTCTTTGTTAAAGCCAGAGCAACTAGCCACCCATTCCCATCTCCTTTTAGGTATTTAAGATAAAAGAACAGGGCTATGGACATTCCAGGGCTATCTGCATTCTCATTCTCTTTGAGATGTTAACAAACTCCAAGCCTCCTCAACAGGTAGAGGGACAAAAATGAAAGCCATGTCTAACAAAATGGAAGTCCTGTGTCCCTATGACTTGTACACAGCCCCAAAACTCAATATGGGAAACATATATGTTTGCACAGTATCTCTGACCAAATTGAAAATGAGTAAATATTTATTGAACAAATGAAGTCCTAATTTCAATTTTTGGGTTTGAGATGTTTCATTAAAATGATCTCATTTATTAGTATTATACTAAATAAATGTTATAAAACTCAAGGTTGTAAATTTATGCTGTCAAAATACTGTCTTAGAATGTTTCACATGTTGAGCTTCCAATTCTTTCACTTGAAAAAATAAAAGCTTCTGCAGCTATACAAGTTAATACACAACTTGAGTGAGTCATCTCTAAGTACCTTCTGAATTTAGACACACAGTATTTTGTTACCTCAGAGAATCCCAAACGCTTCTGATTACAAGAAAGTCACACAGTATCCTGTATCATTTCAACAGGAATTCCATTTACTACAGAAATGGGCAATTGCTGCCTTTTAAGCAAATAGTTTGTTCTCATAGGTAGGCAGAAAAACAATTTTCATTTTGAAAAAAAGATATGGTGCCATTTGTATTACTCTCAGATGCCAAGACACACATCAACGCATACACAGCCACAGCCAACGAATACACCCATGACTGCTGGTAGCCTCCTGAGTCTTTGAGCAGGGAAGCGTATTTGCAGTGTGGGGTATTAATTTTAGATACACTAGTAACAAGCCCGCCACAGTGATTGCACTCTTGCCTGCCTGAATAATACTATCACGTTATACTAAATTATCTTATTCTTAACAATCAGAATTCCACCTGGAAAAAATTCAACAAGACA